TCAGCTCCTCCTTCAATGTTGCAGCTTCATCTTGCTTGGATTTGCTGCTTCAACAAGTTTTTGGAGTTTTGCTGAGCTTTCCCATGAGTTGCTCAGTTTTCTTCTTTTACTCTACAACTTCATTAGGGTCACGTCAGATTCAACTTTTTGGTGAACATGACTTGATGCATGCTCTGAGTTTTCCTTCGTTTCTCAGGCTGCACCCTTGACAGACTTTTTCCCTTTGGGCTTGGCTGTAGAATCCATGGACACCTTCTCTTTGAATCTAGCTTTCCTCTCCTTGACATCTCCCCTGGTGGGACTAACATATGCCTCCATCTTCACAGCCTTTTTTGCTGCAAGATTTTGGCCAAGCAAGAGGGGTTTCACATGAAAAACCATCTAAAAAGCAAAGAAAGGTACGATTTTTTTTTTTTCTGGTGTTTACTCAAATTCACTCTCAGAGGTCCCTCAAGATCATTGAAACTCTGATACCATGCTGGAGAATTGAGAAAGGACTTGGAGGAGAAAGGGAGAAGCACCGGAGTTCCCTCTTTGTTGAGTTGAGAACTCAATTTTTTTCATTCATTGTTCTGCTATTATACAGCAGAAATATCTCAATACATAAAGGAAATTTCCACCTAATACTTATCTAATACACTTGATGCAAGATTACATTAAAAGACTTGCTGCCACTTGTGCAGCTTCATTTCCTTTCATTTGCTGCCACTTGTGCAACTCCATGTGGCTGGACTTGCTGCTACTTTGCAGCCTCATTTGCATTTCATTTGCATTTTATTACAGTCCCATTTCATCAACATTTGCATCATAGTTTGCTGCACTTTGCTGCTACCACCGTGCTTTGGTGCAGCTCTCCCTTCATTTCATTTTGCTGTCACCTGTGCAGCTTTCTTTCCATTTGCTGCTTCTTGTTCAGCTTTGACACCAGAGCTCCAACACTAATTATGCTGGTTAAAAACATAAGAAAAAAGAGTTTGGTTAACAGGTTTTAGATAGGTTGTCATGTCAGGCAATATTACTTTTTTTGACATCAGTTCAGAACAATGAAAGTCAAATTCATCTAATTCAAAGGTCATCTCCTATGTATAAAAAGAGAGATCTCCTATGTATAAAAAGAGAGAGAGAGCGAAGGTTATAACGAGACCAATTCAACACCGCCACAGAAACAATAATTTTGTTTGACTTTTTTTTTTTTCTGAGTTTTGACTACAATATTGTTAATTTATAGCAGAGACTAACTGCACCCTGAAAAATTCCAAAACCAGAAAGGGCGATAGGGATATCTATCCGATGTAATGACATAGCATCATACCTCAGCAATCTGATCATAGGATTGGCTGCGGGAAAGACGGAAAAAAAAGGTTAAAGAAAAGCATTCCTGTGTGTGTCACCCCCTATGAGTCTATGACTCTTCCACTGCGTCACCTCTTACGATACTTCCTCCTCTAAATGCCTCTCATTTGATAATTTGGATAGGGCAGTCTGCTGGTAATATAAAATGGGAGTCCGAGAAACAGAATGGAGGGAGTCAAGAAATCTCATTACTACAACTACTCAACCTTAGGTGTTTTGGATTTGAAGTAAGCCATCTCTTCTCTCTCTCTTCTTTTTTTTTTTTTTCAATTCATATTGAGAAAACTGAGT